GCGAGCAGTCTCCATCAGAATACATCAACCTTATTCAACTATCCTTGCTCCTCGAAGCAGATCTCACTGATGTCTGCACCGAGGACATTGAAAAGAGCCTACTTTATGGTGGGTTAGGCACCAGATTATCTAAGAGGGAACGGGTGTTCCCTGTTGTCAGGACGAGCATAGTTACTCCGGTAGAAGATGTTAGAGAATGATAGTCATATAGAAGAAGAAGACTTGATCTCTGGAAAGGCAATTTTATTCTTCCGATAATTATATTGTTGTTGCAGGCGTTACTAGCGGTGCATATTAGAAAAACAAAGTGCGCTATCAACCATCTCAAACTACAGATATCAGGACAGGTCTCGTGAACTCAACTGTCGCCTCATCCTTTCGATCCTATTGTCCACGATGACCTCCCCCTGTCTCAACTCCCTGATGGCTGATCCTTTAGCCAGTTGGGTGGTGCTGCAGCCGTGAACAGTAGCCTCTGTTGCTATGTGATTTCTCCAACGACAAGAAGCGTTTCGAACCCTCATACATTCTCATCAAAAGCCCTGTCTAATTGTATCGCAACAATCCTATCAACCAACCACTTAATTTTTATAGAAGCAGATTTTTTCTCCTACGTTCTTTTTTTAATATGGGGGTCCGCTGAACTCTGCCCCCGCTTTCATGGTAGGAGTTTTTTCACTGCTTTCGCCTTAGTTCACCATACGTTTCAGAGAGTGTTGATTATTATTTTAAAATGACGATATGTTGGCGGACGTGAAACTGTCTTCCTACCATGCTAAACACTTCCACTGCTTATGTGGTTGTTGACAAAGAGCAGCAGTTATTTACTTTGTATTTATATCGACCACAACACTAAGTTTGCAATGACAAGGCCCTCCGCGCATTAAATGTAAAATGTATTTATTTATACAATAATTAATAATTAAATGTCAAATGACCAAACACCTGGCGTGACAGCTAGAGCAGATTTTTTCGCATCCAGTAAGATAAACCCTACAGTCAAAGAAGAGTGACCACATAGTTAAGAACAAGGTGGTCCGCCACCTCGACAGAGCACCACCCTAGAGACCAGATAGTGGCGTAAAATGACGTCGCAGAAGATAGTGCGGTCGTCAGTAGTAAGTGGGAGGTCCTGGAGTTGGAGTCCAAAACCATCATCGTAACAGGGAAGACCAGCACGGCGTTCTTCAGCGCCATCTCAAGAAGGTCGATCCTGGGAGAAAGCTGGAGGGGACGTTGATGAGCACGGACAAAGCGTCAGACACTTCATTCAGTGACCTGTAAAAGTGGTGGATATCCAAAGTGAGCTGTGAATTTTACTCCAGTCGGCGGATTAAACTTGTCGGAACTGGACTTGAGGGCGAAGGAAGGGAGCTTATTATCCGTGAAGAGGGCGAAGTCCCTGCAATCAAGGAAGTGTCGGAATTATTTTCGGCTAGGTAGACGGTAAGAAGCTCCCAGCAAAATGTGTTATAGCTTGATTCGTCAAGTGACGCCTTCCCGAAGAAGGGGGCTAAGTGTTGTTTCTGAATTGTGAGGTAGAGTGGAAGAACTCCACCGGTCGCAAAATTCGAGGGGTCAGCCATAAGGAAGGTGAGAGCGTCGGGAGCAGAATGCGTTCGGAGAATTGCATATACTAGGCCAGCTTTCATTTTGTCAAGAGTAGTGAGGGTGTCTGCAGAAGGCTCGGAATAAACCTTGGGACCCGTGAGAAGATTTGTGAGTGGCGATGTGATATCGGCGAAATGAGAGAGGAACCGTCGCTGGAAATCTATAATGTCAGGAAAACACAGCACTTGGCACTAAGATGAGGGAAGCGGGAGTTTGTGGATGGCCGCACCTTTCGAAGAAAGAAAATGGACTTGTTGGTATCGACAAGATATCCTATAACCTCAAGGGAATACACACCGAAGACACACTTATACGGGTTGAGAACCACACCAGAGTG